ACCTTCTGTGCTGACCGAGGTACAATTCCAGAAGCAAAAGTAGCAGTTACAGAACGCAGCACAGCGGCAAAACTGTGGACGTGATTAAAGCAAAAGCTATTAGAAGTGCCTGGAAATCGCACACATGAAATGAGAGAATTCAACAGTGTGTCTTACACAAGCAGTGTTTCTAGACCGTTCATGGAATGGTTAAACCATTGCTGTGATCCAGACCAGGAAGAAAACCTGATCACTGCCTCTGCAGGGAGATTTTACTGGTCACCGTGTGAGCATAATGCCACGAAACTGTAGGTAATAAAGACTGAAACTTAAAAAACTCAACCCATGCGGGCAGGGCACGGTGACACAGTTAATGATACTGTGTTGCTTATTTGAAAGTTGTTGAGAGAGCGGGTCACTTTGCAACTGGATGGTGACTGGGTGGACACCAGACTCACTGTGGTGCTCGTTTCACGGTGTAGACAGAGATCGAATCATCGTGCTGGATACCTGAAACTAATATAATGTTAGGTGTCAACTATACCTAAAAAAAATCCATTTAGAAAACTTGACCCAAATAGGAAGTGGAAACTATAATAATAGACCATTTAGAAAAGTAATCCTGAAAGCCTTCACCTAGTTCCAAACAGTAAGTGAATCCATTCCTCCGAGCGCCTTCGTTACCGTGAGTGAAGTAAGTGCTCTGCGCAGAAAACTGGAAAATAAACGACAGAGAAATCTGGGGAAACGGGAGGGTGTTCTTACAGCGGGCAAGAGCTAGTGAAGGAGATGTGGCCGCGTCTGCTTCTCTCTGTTACCCACCGCTCTTGGAACATTGCCTGGCACATGGCGGGCACTCAGTAAATATTTGTGAGATGAACAGATGAATGAACAAAGAGGAAAAAAAAACAGTAGAACTGAAAAATCTAAGAGCGATCCTTTGTTAAAACACTGAAGCAGATAAAGGTGTAGTTAAACTAAGGAGAAAAAAAGAAAAACACAGATACCCCGAATTAGCAATGTCAGAATATATATAATCAGAGACGTGGAGATTTAAAAAATAGAATAAAAAATAGAAGTTTTTGATGAAATTGAAATTCTCTAGGAAAAATGAAGCTACCAAAATCAGTTCACGAAGCAATGAAGCACTTGGGTGGAGATGTAATCTTTGCAGACATCACAAAGTGACCTAAGAGAAAAGCTCCAGAAAGAATCCTGAACCCAGATGGTGCTGTAGGTAAAGGTATTCAAATATCAGAAAAATAGAGTATCTCTGCTAGATCAAGTTGTCTAGTGCACTGTTTCCCAAAGATTCCTGTATTATAGAAGGTACAGGTAGTATTTAAGGTGTATACAGGTGACTGGTTTTTATTTTAATAACTTAGAATGTGTTAGAAAAATTACATATTCAATTATATAGATCATATGTATGTGTGTGTATATACATATATATATATATAGTATATACATATATATATATAGTATATAATATATATATATATAGTATAGTCTATGTTGCTTAGGACAAGGTTAGGTTTAAAAAAAGTTAGTCAATGTTAAGTTTATGCAGAAAGTATTAAATATGTAATAGGACAGGTAAATGTGAATCTGGCCAAAACTGTAAAACTGCTACTCAAATAATAGGAACTTGAAAGGTACATAAAAGGTGGAAAGCATTCCTATTTATTTGATCAGAAGCGGTGATAATACTGTTAATGCTTCTCCTGAGACCAAAGCCTTTCAGCAACTCAGCTGAAAATAAAGCCAGAGGACAGTCCCCCTAGGGTGGATGTGCACGTCCCAACTGAAATGCTAGCCAAATTTCATCCAGTGATGTCTTTGTAAAGTACTACACCGTTGGTTAAAAAAAAAAACTCATTCCAAGAATACAATAATATTGTTATATAAATAGAATTTACATCAGTAAATTTAAAGAGAAAAACATTTCATTTTGCTGTATGTCAGTAGTGCATTTAATAACATTTAACATCTACCTTATAAACATTTAATGGGAATGAATGGATTCTTTCTTAAGATAATAAATAAAATGGTCTGAAAGCTGCACACACCATGCGTAACAGGAAACTAAAAACATTCCTGCAGAGGTCAGGAAAAAAACAGTGGTGCCCATAGAGGACATTGTTTTCAGATAGACTAGCCAAAGCAGTGACATTTAAAAAAATATTTAGTAAAAATGAGACAAAATTAGCATTATTTGTAGGGACCGTAATTCTGTTAGAAAGGCCAACTGAAAAACTGTTAGAACTAGTGAGAATGCAGGACGGTAACTAGCTTGGAAATGTGTGTATGTGTGTGTGTGTGTGTTCATGTATGTGTGAACACGCACATACGTGTGTACATGTGTGTAGGGAGATCTGTGTAGAACGGTGACTTTCTTTAGGTTAGTGATAACCAGGAGCAAGGGTTTATTCAAACGTCACGTTCCCGACGAGAACAAAGTGGACAAAAGCTGAGGACACGGGGCGCGTCAGGGCCTTTGTGATAAACCGGGAGCTCTGTGCTCGGAGCTGGACGCTCCTGATGACCAGGTGGGTGTCCCCTGTTACGCGGAGGACTTAGCCTTCACATGTTAAGGGCTTTGAAGTCAGAATTAGTTGCTGAATTCTGTAAAATGCCTTTGGGCATCCCTCCGAGGTGGTGGTTTTCTTTTTAGGCATAAGGATGTGACAGTTTGAAAATGTTCACCTTATCGTGAAACTTTAAATCAAGTTTTTCTAAGTCCTGCTTTTGGAAAAAAAATTTCTTTAGCGTGAAAAGTGCTAATTATCAGTTGAAGTTTTTCTTGGTCCCCGTGGCCTCATACGCGAAGAAGGGCGTGCGTGCAGGGTTTCTGCTGCCGTTAATGTTCAGCGAGTTTGTTCGTAGGCTTTTCAACTTTCCCACTCGGAGAAGTGTTTGGGGATGGAGGTGGCTGGGATCTCAGCTGTGCTATGTGTGGCCCTCAGTGTGCTTTATTTTATTTTATTTTTACGGGGGGAGGTAATTAGGTTTATATATTTAGTGGAGATGCTGGAAGTTGAGCCCAGGCCCTCATGCTTGCTAGGCGCGCACTCTACCACCGAGCTGTACCCTCCTCCCCTCAATGTGCTTTAGGTATGAGATTTCTAGGCTGTTGAATTGTTTTATTTTCTTAAAGTGTTTATCTGGCTCCAGTTGTCTGAGACCAGCCTGGGTTGTAGTGTCATAGAAGCAGTGCAGAAACATGGAGAATTTGAAAGGTTTCAGCGCATCCTTACAAGGTCCTTGTCATCCCACGACAGAGCACTTCCCCAGACCATCCTCCACCCAGACCCTGCCCGCTAGTGGTCTTCACTCGGCCACTTCCCTCTACGAGATGCTCCGTCCCAGGCTGTCTGCCCCCTTCCCACCCAGCCGTCAGGCCCCAGGGTCCCCCCTTCGGGCACTCTGTTCCCAGCTGAGCAGGATTCACGTGAGACCCCGTGGTCGCCTTCCTCACCGCCGTGGTCGCCGCCCTCTGCAGAAGTGCTCACAAAAAGCAGGATTTTGTTGAGCCGGTGACCGCTGTCCCTTGTATTTCCAGGAAATTTTTTAATTATCAGGAGAAAGTAGGTTTGCTATTTCAAGATTAATGTGGCTGGCCAAATATTTAAAATTGATATTTAAGAGGGGAGGGTATAGCTCAGTGGTAGAGCGCGTGTGTAGCATGCGTGATGTCTGGGTTCAATCCCCAGTACCTCCATCAAAAATAGACTAATAGCCCTATTTACCTCCCCCTACCCCCCCAAAAAAGAAAAAAATTGATACTGAAAAAGTCATTCAATGTTCTGAAATTCAGAAAAGCTTGTTTCACAGAGCTTTTCCACCTTGCATCCCACTGCGGAGATGACCCAGGTGCCCTGGGCCGGTGGCTGCTGGAGGGGCTGGCGGGGCGCCTGCCCACCCGCCCTGCCGGCTCCGAGGCCGCACTCACGCACCGCCCCCAGCTCGCAACTCAGATCTCTTCCTGAATGTTCTCTGCCGACGTCCTTCGGCCCGTGCTCATTTTTTTTTAAACCCTTGCTCTGTTCCTCTAGAAAAATTAGTCTTTCCTCCTTTACTCTTTCTCCTCCCTCATTGCCAGCTGCTTGTTCCAAATTAAACCTTATTATGGATGAGTGTTAAGATTAGGGGTGAGGGTAAACCTGGAAAGTAAAGTCATGAGTTTCGACCTGAAACTGTACCCAGTAAAGGACCAGCGCCAGCCACTTCCAGAGCCCTTGAAAATCCCCTCTGTTTTATCTGCCAAGAAGTTCATCTCCTTCCTCTAATTGGGCCTGCTTTTCTCTCTAGCACCAGTGGCCAAATTAAAAAAAAAAGCAAACCCCAAATCTGCAAGGCTAAATTATCAGCAGTCTGACCTCTTCTGATTTATAAACAGATAAAGGGCCTATTCACAGCGGTCCTAGAACTACTATGAAAGTTACCCATTTATAGTTATATTGTGCTCTCCTCTGCTCACCCTTCAATCTGAGCGCAGCGCAGTGTGCGGAAGTCACCGGGGGTTACATGCTTGCAACCGGCCCAGACACGTGGTGGAACAGCCCCCTTTTGCGGGCATGTGCCTTTGTGTGTGCGTTTCTGTGTGTGTGGTGTGTGTCCCCAGAGCCTCCCCGACGTCCTGGCCTCCTGTGGCTTTTGTGTCTTGTGCCTTCGTAGGGATTTTCAATCAGTGACGGTAGGTGATTAAGGAAAAAGAACAAAAATGAAGCGATAACAGTAATTGGAGCAGTGATTCCGTAACCTGTGCATTAAACCCAACCTCTTTGTGGGGAGTTCTGGTATCCAGAGTCCTGTGCTGACTGTTTCAGATACAGACTCTGGGAGAGTCTCACCGACACCCCCCGTTCCGCTGGCTCTTCCTGTCACTCAGGTCGGCACTATGGGTGTCAGTTCCGTTACCAGCCTTGACTCGGGGTGGGGGGTGTCCTGAGGCTTCTTGATGGCTGTGGTCAGTCCACTCGGGGTCATGGGCCGCTCAGCGTTCTGGAACCCCCTCGCTTACCTGCGGCCGCCAGTCTGCTCCCACGCGCCTGGACTCTGGCACCTGAAGCTGCCAGGACTGTGTCTAAACCAGAAGTGCTTCTCCTAATCATGAGTGACAGAGTGAAGTTTGGGGCACAGACATTTTTAGCATCTCTGGAGATCGCTTCCTGTTCCCGGCTAATGACATATGGCAGGTGGTGGGTGGCCGGCAGGGGAGTCTCAGCTAGGGCATCGCTGCCCCCTGCGGCATCCTGCCTGTGCTGGGCGGGCTCCTCTGCATCCTGGGACCACACCTCCCTCCTCGTCCTGCCCTTAGCCTGGGAGGCTCTGCTCGCAGGGCTTCACTGCCCACTGCCACAGGTTGCCCAGCTGGGAGGCTCGGATGGTCCCAGTTAATGCCCGTCAGGAGTCAGTTTGCTCCTAGTATTTTTACTCTCAAAGGTGCTTCCATTCGGAAGAGGAGCTATACCTTTGTCCTGCACCACATCCTCTCAGGCCTCAGCTCAGATGTTGTCCCCTCCAAGGAGACCGTTCCCCACCAGCCCAGGCAGGCTCCCTTCTCCCCCGGGGTGAGCTCTTTTGTGTGTGCGACTGCAGGGTGGCCCTCCCGGCTGGGCTGGGCTGGGCTGAGCCAGGGTTGATGAGAAATAGAAAAACTGTAGGCCTTTTTCCACGAGAGGACGGAGCAGGGCCAGACCCGGAGGAGGTGAGGGAGGAGGTGAGGGAGGAGAGGTTCTAGGGTGGAGGGGGGCTGGGGAGGAGAAAGGGAGGGTGAAACGTGGGGCTGGGGTCTCCGGGGAGGCTCGCTGGTGTGACTGTGTTCATCCCTGGAGAACTTCCCATCTCTTCTTCCTCTCAAGGCTGTGAGAGGCAGATCTGAATGACCTAGAGACAGTCAGCGTGCACACTGCAGGGAGAGGCTCTGGTGAGCTTGACTCTCCACGGATTACATGAAGTAAACTGCATTTTCTCTAGGTGAG